TATTAAAACCCTTATATTTATTCAAATGCAGCCTTTTAAATGGTTACCCGTCCTTTAAATGGGAACCCTTCCTTTTTACAACCTTAAAATGGTAACCGGCATAAATGGTATCCCTTCATTTTTTAACCAGCCTGACAGAAATTCATTACCCAGTCTACTCAATTAATTGTACAGAGTATAAGTGAATTTCTTGGTGCACACAATTCATAATATATCCTTTTTGCAACCTTTAAATGGTAACCGGCACAAATAGTATCCTTTCATTTTTGAACAAGCCTGACAACAATTCATTACTCAGTCTACTCAATTAATTGTACAGAGTATAAGTGAATATCTTATTGCACACAATTCAGAATATAAAACCAGCCTTACTCATCTACTAACATCCATAAATGTGGTAGAAAGTAATCATTTCCACACTTAATGGATGATGAAGGTTGAAAACAATTTGAAGTCCCTCAGTTGTTGATTGTATTGAAGGATGGTATAAGGTGTTTTTCCTTCTTATTACAGTCTTAATGTATGGTTTGGAGGCACCATCTTCTGATTGGGGGACAACTATCCAAAATCTGTCAAAGCAATGCCTCGACATCGCTATTACGTTGTATTTATTGGTTGGAATGTAAGTATATTTACGAAGTTGGAAGAAACAAAAGCACAAACGTGAGGGTTTCCTAATGCTGAGTATTATCGTTATGATAGTCATGAAGAGGCTGTTCAAGCTTTAGGTCAATGAAACATGTAGGCTTATAGGGAAGTTTCCAAGTCTGAAGGTCAGTCGCAAGTTGAGGTTGTAGACGTAAGTCAACCATAACCAGTACACAATGTCAATCGCCTTCCATGCCAACTACAAACATCCCCTGAACAGTGTATGAGGTATGCCGAGTTAAGACATCAACGGGGTGTCATTGTTGTCGAGTGTAGAAGAGTAAGAGTGGTATTCTTAGAGTGTGTCACCTTAATTGAAATGGAACAGTCAAGAGAGACAGATATGGAATCCCTGATTGTTCAAATCAAACGTGAGATCTATCAATTATATGTTAGATGGCGTAAGATGGAGAAGTTTTCAAAGGTGAACAACACATATGAGCATCCAAACGAAGAGTTTGAAAATATTATGAATGACCCAGACCTAAAATCCGATTCGGAATTGTCAGATTTTTCGGACTCCGAGGATGATGACTTTGAAATTCTACCGCCAAGGAGTCGTGAAAAAAGTAAGTGAACTTCCTTATTGGCAAGTATGGTGTAGTACATTAATGGTTCACAATTTATAATGTATGCAATGGTAATATTCTTATGTGTGTGAACTAGTATTGAATGTTTGATTCTCATTAATGAAGTGCCTGCATGTGTAAAATGTCTTCTATAACCACACCTTATGTCTTTTATAAAGTTGACTTTCTCTTTAGTTATTGGTGGGATTGACTCACATAACCACCCATTATGTCTTTTATAAGTGTGGTATCAACTTTGTATGACTAACATGCAGTAATGACAATGGAGTAAGTGGAAAGCACAATAATACATATTTAAGATATAAGACTTAATAAATATTTAAATAACACACTGCTTCATTGATAATTAAATTTAACACAATACATAAAAAATTCGTGTCAACCCACAGAAACACCAACCTATAAAATATTATGTCTGAAGTAGTATGGATGCAAATATTCTGCTACTTACGAATTTATTGGGATTTTCTCTATAACTGTAGAACGAAACTATGTAGATAACTATTGGGATAACCGGTACATATGTATTTGCAAAATCCCAATAAAATAACTTAAGAAGTATATTTGGATTCTATTACTTTGGGCCTTTAAAATTAACTTACGAATTTATTGGGATATTCCATATAACTTTGGAACCAAAATATGTACATAATCATTGGGATTGTTTCTACATATGTATTTGCATAAGACTGTAACTTAAAAGGTTTATTTGGATTGTATTACTTTTGCCCTGCAAAAATTGAAAATATTTTAGACAACAAGTCAATTATGTCTAAAGTAGTGTGGATGCAAGTACTCTCTTACTTACGAATTAATTAGGATTTTTGTCATAACTTTGGAACGAAACAATGTACATAAACCAATTATATTTCAATGCATTTGTCTCAATTCAAATACTTAATTCACATGCATTTCAACCAATTACATTTCATAATGTATGATAAAAAAGACTTATCATGCATTTTGATAATACACAAAATTATACAAATTTGGCCAACCCACGCAAATTAGAAAAGCCAACAACAATTAAGTAGAGTTAAATCAACAACATCATAAAAACAATTTCAATTACATATTGGAATGATTGTCAATAATCAAAGAGTCGTTCAATTGGTCGGTTCATCTCCGAGATTGGCATTTAGGACGTTGGCCTGACACTCGATTCATAATTATTTACATCTATTGTCTTTGAATATAATCATGGGACAAAATGCAATCCAATTAGATGAAATCACAAGACACACAAAAAAATTCCTTAAAAAATAAATATAAACTTAATGTGTGGAGGAGGACAATTAAGTACCTTATCACTTCTGAAACCATCAGCGTATCATTCCTTGTGTGAATAATGAGTATTGGAATTGCATGAATCGCCAAAAAAGCTCTGTAACATTATATAGTTTTCCTTATATATTATAAGCCATCAATTAAATAATGATGCAACCTTGTATATTGCAATTTATATGCTTGTTCCACCTTAACAACACACTTGCCTGGTTAGTTAATAGAGTACTTACTTTACCACCATTAATAGGGGGTTGTAAGGCTGTTTCCAAAACCTTGTGTTATGCATTACACGTTGTTGTGGCGTCACATAACTTTCATCATTGAGAAATTCAGCAAGAATTTCACAGCCCTATAAAATAAATGATGTAAAACCTTTTACGAGAGGATTCCTTGTAACTATAATGAACATGTTAAGCAAAGTGTTGAAAATTGTTATGTTACAATATTGACATTGACTAACAGGTGGTAGGGGATTGTTCGACTATGACTACTACCACCTGCCTCTCCGGATGCAAGGGCTTCATTGAAATTCTACAACACAATTATGAGAATTATTAAGTATGCATAATTTAATAGACAAAACTGGTATTACTTATAAAACTGCGTGGAAAAATAGTAAGGGGATAAAAGTACCTGAACCTAAACTGTTTGTTTAGTTGATTTCGTCTTATTGCTACTCTTTAGCTCCGTGGTGGTTTTAACCTCTTAAATTTTCCTTTACGTGTATCTTTACACTTGAGGCTATTGGGGATTTTGTTAGGTTTTTTTGTTGCTCCCCAAATTTTGGTTTTTGGGTTTACCACCACTATAAATTGCATTCCTCTCATCAAACCTACGACTACAACTTGTTTGGGCATGTTTTTTTTTCCATTCCATAACTTTCACTAACAAATCATTGTATCCATCCTTATCCTCCGATGCAATGGAGGAAATTTTTGTCAAAACACGACAAAGTGCCCTGTGTCGTCTCCTAATCTTAAGTTTGGGATCCGCATCGGCAATCACTTCACCCGAAAAATTTTCTTCCAAGCTACCATCTGTAGCAGTTCTAGTCCACCTTCTTAATATATATCAACGAGGCAATAAATTGACAAACATGGAGTCCTTTAGGACTTTCAAAGTATGTCTGCACATAATACCCTCCCTTTCAAATTTACAACAAGAACATAACAATTCATCTTCTGATGTTCTCGTCACGCGGCGTTGCATCCCATCGTCACCGACAACTTTGTAAACATAGCCTCCATTGCTATCGATGGGACTACAACTAATGATACTCTGACTGGCAACAGCTGCTAAGAACTCGTCTTGGAAAAGCTCAAATATAACCTTTGTGTACAGCTTTGCCGCTTCTACTAATACGTTACACTTTATTTTCAGCTTTGTCGAGGGGGCAAAATTGATAACACAAAGTTAGCAATTTGAGTTGACCTTAATTGAAGTGTGAGTTCAATCCGATTAACTCGTAAACTATTTTAACTCAATTATTATGAATATTTATGTTCTTTAAATACAAATACAATTTCATTATATATGCATTTTATACTTAAATTAATTAATGGGTTACATCACCTATTTAATTTAAATGAATTAAAGTATACAAGACGCAGTTAGTAAAAGGATTACATGAATCTGTGTAACAAGTCATTGTTGTGCGAAGTGTTCGATTGAGATGTAGAATATTATTAGGTCGAAATGTATATGATCTGCTAACAATTTGAATTATCACCCCTTAACAAACAATCAAATTTGATATTTATAAATGGTAAAATATAAAAATATATTCCAAATTTTGTTTAAACTTAAACTTGTATTAAATATAGAAATAGTTGAAAAACTTCAATTTGTATTAAGCAATCTTGTTTATTACAAGATTATATATAATAATAATAATAATGTGAAGATTATTTTTTTAGCACATCATAAATTATTATATACTGTAGATTAAATTATGCGCAGATGCTTGTCTTGTTAGCTGCCTGTAAGCTTATAACTTGGATCCCTTGAGAGACCATAAGTTCGGGATCATTTGCGGGATATAGTTGATGAAAAGGGAGCTTTAACTGGCAACATATATGTCTATATAATGCGTCATTGTTTCACAACGTGCTTTCTGTTTAGAATAGACGGTGGTTCTGTTCGTCACTGGACTGCTTCTGTTGAGGGATCATCAGCTACTGTGTCGTCGTTTCACGTTGTGTCTCTGATAGAGATAGACGTGTTTTGTGTTGGAATATACGGTCGGTGGTTTTGCTCGTCACTGGATTTCTTTTGTTGTGGATCATCAGCTGTTGTTTCACGTGATTTCATCATTACTCGGCTGTTTCTATTAGGATAGATGGTGATTCTGGTCGCATTTTAAGAGAATGTGAGAGATAGATGTGATTTTTGATAGATCGTCACTACCGGAGTGGCAAAGGTGAGAGACAGACGTGCTTTCTGAGACTGTGAGAGAGAGATGTGATTTCTTGAAATGTACGACTGAGATAATCTAGCTTGGTTAAAAAATCATTAAATTACAGATGTGATATTGCATCAAATAAAAAGAATTCGTAGGTGTACTAGTACTAGCTGTGCATCAAGTAGAATTGCCGATTCCTGAAATGCTTTTCTGGATATTCTTCATTGTTCCCACGATTCACTGAATGTAAGAAGCAGAGGGTGTATCGAATAGCAGAGGGTGTATCGAATAATGGTGAAAATATCAGCCAGCAAAAGAACATCCTCCGGTACTTCCGGACATAGATATATACTAAAGGATATAGAGCGGGTACCGGAAAACGAACCAGCATCGTTAGCTTGGAAGGCTAGATGTTCTACCCGCGATTCAGTATTTTTACTCTCTAATTCAGAACCGAACATGAACTTTGGTTTCGTTTCGCTTCTTTAGGGAAGATGCCCAGATCATAAATAGGCCGTGTATGAATTAATAGGCCTCATATTCGGAAACGCAAGCCACTGACAGATAATGTGATGGCCTGCTGCCATGAAATCACCTACAAATCACGAACTGCTTCCGGCAAGAATAGCATATCATAAATAACAGAAACAGATAACATATGAAGGATAATTTAGGTTCTGAAAGTTTAAATCAAGTTCAGTAGCTTTTTACAAGTTTGGAGGGCCATCACCACCAATATACACACATACTGCTTAGAAGTCTTACTAAAATATATATATATATATATATATATATACCAAACCAAAAGAGATTATTTACCTCTGAGGATTCAGATTCCAAATTGAGGTCCATGATCAGTTCTTCCATGCAAACTCGTCCTTCAGTACATGTTCCCAGTCAGATGACGCGGTATCATTCCACACTGAAGGAAGCTGATTCCACTGCTTGCTGTTTCTACAAGATTGGATCACTAGATCATCTGTGACAGCTTTCACGGTTTCATGATCAGAACTACCTACAAATGGGCCAAATGTTTCACTAACATCGCCAGTGTGATGCTTCAATTGAGGTCCCAAACCAACGTCAGAACGTCCACCCTCTGATTCGACTCCAATAAATGGCCAGCGAGTTATGTTAACCGTAAATCCAGTATCAACCTCCTTGGGCAGTTGTTCTTCTTCCATAATCCCAGAACTTGAGTTCTCACCACGGCATTTTAGGATTTGAAATCTGGCCATTGCGGAACCCTCAACATCGTCCGTAAATCCAGCATCAACCTCCATGGGCAGTTGTTTTTCTTCCATAATCCCAGAACTTGAGTTCTCACCACGGCATTTTAGGATTTGAAATCTGGCCATCACGGAAGCCTCAACATCGTCTGTACATCCAGCATCAACCTCCTTGGGCAGTTGTTTTTCTTCCATAATCCCAGAACTTGAGCTCTCACTGTGGCCTTTTAGGATTTGAAATGTGGCCATCACGGAAGTCTCAACATCATCAACATGGCTGGTTGTGCTTGAATTAGGGGATTCTAGGAAGGAGATATCCGGGATCTGGCAATCTCTAGCCTCAGTTGTAAGCTTGTCAGCTATGTTTGGATGAGAAGATTTCTCTATGGGCCCGGTATCTTCTAATACACCTGAAGCATAGAAAATTATTATTATTGATTTTATGGTTCAATAAATAAGAAACATAACATTAATGTCACAGAAGCAGCATTTTTGGAGGTATTGATTTTAACCTTTTGCTTTGAGCGAATTGCATTTCTCCATCTCAATCTTCGTACGATCAAAGCGAGCTCTATAATTGATGGCACATAATGCAGCTTCTGCCTCAAGCCACAGATTCTTATACAAGAGTGTCTGTGTTTGCATTTCTTCCTCACCACAAAAATTCTCATTCAAAACCTTCTTTATAGCCTGCATGCCAAGATTAACGATCAAAGAACCGGGTTTTTTTTAAAGAAATTTATAAAAAAATAAAAAAATAAAAAAATTATCATATCCTTCCACAAAGAAGATCTCTGATTCAGCATCAATTATTTTTTTGGCATAGAAGATCAGAAAAGAAGAACACACCTGTACCATGCTATCATCTCTCACAATGTCTGCGTCATCCCTTAAAGAGAGAAAATCTGGAAATCTGTTAACTTTCTTACCAGCAGCGTTATGATTCCTCTTCTCCTTGTGCATACGCTGAAATTTAATCTGACCATGAGAATTAGCAGCTGCTTCTCCCGTCACCTTAGGCTTGCTTGCACTGGCTCCCTGGAGAATACATTATTATTGAAGTATCTCAAACCTGAATCTTCTGTAGTCTATTGCATCCATACATTTGTAAATCAATTAATGATCAACTGATTCAAGTTAGAACATGTAAACCAAACAACACATCAATGCAGGATTTATAGAAGAACAAACACCTGTCACTTAATTAGTATTAAGAAATATATGCCAAATCAAAGGTTAGAATCATATATGACTTATATATATATATATATATTGCTTTCAATCTATCTGTTGGTATTTTTAGCATTTAATGAAGCAGTGACTTATTTCCATCACTTTGCACTTATTTGTTTCCATCGTATAAGTGCATTTTAATGAAGCAATGCCTTATTTCTGTCAGTTCACACTTAATGTTTCTATGGATTAATTGCAGAAAACACCCCTGTAGCATAGGCATAGTGCATATAACATCCTTGCTGGTTTAAAAATACCCCTCCTAATCATTTGGTTCAAATAGGTCCATTCCGATCATCAGCCGTTAACAGAGCTAGTAAATGACTGAAAAGCCCTTGTTATGAAATATAAAAAAAAATAAAAAATAAGCACACAGTATCTCTCTCTAAAAAGCCATATAACATCCTTGTACAAGAAAATCCTGAAGGAAGATGAAAGAAGATTAGCAAGAAGCCAAGAACCACTCCACCACCACCACCAAAGAAAGGCCATTGCTTTTGCCTGCAAGAAGTTCACCAAACCCACAGCGTATTTTATCATCCTCCTTAAATCCCAAAACACAACGCCACCAGCAACACTGCCGGCAACTTTTTTGTTGGTGCTTGATGGAATATCAGATGGTGTCTCTGCTTCACACAAAGCTGTTTGTTGCATTGGTTGTCGTCATTCTTGGCGCCATCGCTGCCCTCGATCTCCACCCGCCACCACCATCCTCACTGCCATCAAACCCCTCCTCTACCCTTGCTGGACCCACCTTTGTAACCCCCGTCGCCACTTCCACTCGGCAACAATCTCAAAGCCTAGTCTCCCAAACCTCCAACCGCTTCAATGACCTCTCAATTCGCTGACACCGACGGCGAGTTCATCCTCATCATCGACAAATGGGTGATTTCAGTGATGTCGGATCGTTTGATGAAGTCCGATCAGTGTTTTAGTCATGTCTTGCCCAATTTTGGCAATTTCTGGCTAACCAGAACTAAACTCATTGGAGATAGGACGGCACCAGATAACCATTGAAGAGAGTACTGAAAATGTTTGCTAACCTCGAATCCATTTATATATATATATATATACACACACACACAAACGTACATTGTTTGATTGATTTTTGTGAAATAATGCCATTTAGAATGTGAGGGGGGGAGAGAGAGAGAGAGAGATCATTGTTTGTTATAATTTTTTTTTAGTTTCTCATAGAAGAGAGAGAGGGCGTGAGGGTGAGAGACATGGGTATTATACACACAGCATCTATACTAAAGGGGTGTAGCGAAGAATTCACTATTCTAGACACGTGGCATATCAAGCAGCAACTCGGTAGGATCTTAGCCGCTGCATAAGAGGTATCTCGAGTAACATCTATACTACAGGGGTATTTCTGCAATTAATCCTTGTTTCTATCATATAAGTGCATTAAGCGTTCTTATGCATGAGCACACATCTACGTGACATTGTGCACTGATGGAGATCTATCCCGAAAAAATCATTGCTTCATTGAATGCTAAAATTATCAACATATTAATTCATTGAAAATAGAAAAGAGGGAAGGATGGGTAATTTTTTGTGGCTGGGGGGCTCATTATCATAAATAAATGGTTGATAAAACAAGCACATCAATAGCCATTAATGGAGTTTAATAAAGCTTCAATGATTTCCGTCAAAATTGAAATCACGACTATAGAATGGGAATATGAAGAGATGGCTGAGTTCATAAAACATCCAAAACGAATGGAAAAGAAAGAGACATGCCTTGTGAAGATCAGGTAACACTCCAAGTTTTTGAGAAATGCTTTGCTGGGGAGAGAATGATTCTCGTGTGGGAGTCATTCGTCTATTCTTCTTTGATAAACATGCATCAAGATTGTTGATTGCATGCTTGAGGGCTTCGTGATCTTGTTCATTCAGTGCAGATGTATCATTTGAGCAATGACAGAGAAGTAATTCTGAAAGGTTATGCATTGCTTTAACTAGCATCTGAACATTCATTTTTGGAGCTGATTCTCCCTCATGCAGTTTTGCCAGCCTACTAGCATCTTCCCCAGAAGGCAAACATGAGACATTATCCATAGTAGCATGGAGTGGCACACAACCATATTCCAAAGCATTATTGGTATTCATCCGAGTGTCCGCCACACCAGCCCATACTTTGACACGCTCTTCAAGTTCCTGTTGCTTGGTTTGAGAAGGATTAAAGTCAGAATCACAACTTGAGTAATTAAGTAGGTCATATTCCTTTCTGGGTTTGTCAATGTCATTTGAAAATTGAACTCTACAGCTACTGCTTAGTTTTGGACAATCCAGTCCCACTTTCACAGCATCATCGGACCTGTGTTCTTGAGCAGCAGAATAAAAATTTGAAGATCTGTTCGCCAAAAGTGATGAATGATTTTTCTTGCACCCAATCTCATGGAGAGCACTACTCTCACATAGTTTCTGAGACGAGACTTTTACACAATCATCAGCATAGGGAGATAGAACCTGAGTCCCTTGAAGATTCAAATTACTGGATGTTTCTAATGTCCTCATAACATGCTGTGGAGTTACTGCTTTAGACTCCTCAAATGGAGAAAAATAAGAAGATGGAGCTCCTTTCCAGCAGGGTGAATCGACAGCAGGATTATGATGATCTAAACTCTCAGAAGAATTCTCAACTGAACCAACATTTTTAGCACTATCAACTGCCAAAACAAAGCCATCTGGGGCATTTATATCAGGAACTTGAAATTCAGATCTAGGTTTGAACGTATGGTCCAAAACATCCTTGCCAACCAACCTGTTTGGTAGCTCTTCTTTTTTGGTTGAGGATGCAGCAAAAAAGGAGTCATTTCCTCCCAGATAGAAGCTGACTTGGCTTGTATCCAAGCATCTTTCTTTCCCTTCAGAACTCAGTGACAGATGAGCCTCTTTTCTCTTTGATGTATTATGATCATCAAACTCCTCAGTGTTGACTGCAGCAATATTGCCAATAAAATTCACATTATCAGATAGAATCCTACTTGGTACTGAAATGGTGCCAGTGGCAGGTGGTCTAATGACCAGTGCAGGAGAAGATTTTGTCACTAATATGCAATCATTCATGCAAGAATCAAGCAGTTGGAAGCATTTCTCATGTGAAGGAACGTGTGGCTTTTGAAAGTTCCAGGATTTTGAGGCTGACTCGAGGGATGGTACTTGCGGATGAGATTCTGGAAATACTGAAGTAGCACCCAAGATTGATGTTCTTGAGGATCCTGCAGCATTGAACATGGGATTTTGTGCTAAAAATGATTTATCATCCAATTGTTCAGTGCTTAGAGGTACACTATGGTTTTCTCTTTCCAGAATATCAACATATTTGCTGTGTAAAATGGCAGAATCATCTTCACATTTGCTCAAGCTCTCAGCTATATGAGCTCCTGCATGATATCATGAATAGCAAAGAAAGTATAAATTTTAAAATATGGTTGCAGAAATGCTTAAAATAAGGTCCAGACCTAGGTAACTATAATGCTTAGAATTCTTTGACTCGGTTAGCCATCAAAAACAAATATTCTTCATATTATATTTTCTTGTACTTCCACAATCAAAAAGCTAAACTGAGGCTACACATAAGGATACATATAAAGATTGATGGATAAATAAAACCAGGGAGAATGTGTGGCAGTTTGAGTTGAAGGCAACACAGAGACCAAGAGAAGACCAGGAAACTTGTCAGTCATGATACAAAGGAAGAATGTCTAATGACTGAACATAAAGAGGAGGTTTGAGGGCGAGAAGAAGTCCTAGATAAAGTGTGCCTGGTTTACTGGGAAAATCCACACTTAACTATCAGTCAGATTTTCCTACACCAAGTTAGGTCCCTATACATAATTAACTGACAACGGAGTTCTGTTTCCAATTTGATAAGTTTGCTTTAAGGTGTTAGCTGTTGCAACTACAGTGGTAAATACTTGAGAGCAGGAAAGAATCTGGAATACAACTTGGGAAAACAATTTCCTGGTTTTTAAGGATGTTTATCCATCTTCTAGGATACAATTTTCAAGTTATACCATTTGAGATAGACAAATGCATATTGTTCCTTGTTATTCTTCTAGCATGGGAGAATAACCCTGCAGAGAAGCAAAGCTAAAGTAGAATGGCAGAAGAGGGTTTTCCCATCCAACGTCAATTAGTGGGACAAGACTTTGTTGCAAAGAATTGAACACAAAGAAAAAAAAAAAAAACTTTTATATGAGTGTGACATTAGATGGTTCATCTGCTTGCCAGAATGCCTTCGTGGTGATTATAAAGAGCATGATTGGAAGAAGGAAAACAAAAATGAACAAGGCTTTCTGAGCTTACAAAACTAGCTTACTAAAGGAACTTTTTGTTGATTGCACGAGCTAGTCCACAAACTCAACAAACACATTGCCAACTAAGACGACTTTTTTGCTTCAGAGTTCATCAAGGGGTCATGAATTCGTCTATGAGCTCATCATTATAAATTACTGCAATAGTTCTACAACACTTTTCCATTTTCTCAAAGTGTGAAAAAGTCAGGCATACTAATGGCTTTACTACAGGTTACATAAATTTTTTTTATAACTTTCCAAGTTTTATGAGAAGTTCTCATGAAAAATTTGGCACAATCTCGACAATCTATGTATGATCAGCTGTGAAACCCTGATATGCCAATTCATTGTATACAGGGACACAAGTTCAACTGAAAATGAGTAGAGCTATGCCAAGTTCTGGACTGTTCAATGTCAGCTTAAATGTTGATGAGTTCATGCTAAGCCCAATCTCCATCTCGAGCTTAAGTTGGGTGTTCAGACTTGATTTACTTTGCAAAGAGATTTGCTCATGAACCTTATGTATTCAAAAACATTAAAACAGGATTGAATGTTCCAGTCTGGTACTTTTAATATAACTATTTCTTTTTCTTTCTCTTTCTCTAACTTTCTCTCTCTTTTTCTTTCTTTTTGGTCATTTTTTTAAAAGCTGCACTTCTAATAAGGAATAATAGCTAATGCAAAAATATTAAAAATGTTAGACCAAACGCAGCGAACCAAGAACAAATCACGAATTAAACACACCACACAAAGAACACAAAGATTTAGCGTGGCTAGACACAAGTTGTCTACATCCACGGTGAAGATCTGGTGAAGGTTTTCACTATGCAGAAAACGGGAGATTAAAAGTTTCAGCCTCCAAACTCTAACTCTCTCGCTCTCTCTTAAGTGTGATTTTCAATGTCTCTCAATAATCCCACTCCAAAACGCCCTTATATATTGGGCTACAAGAGAGTACTAAATAAGGTCCACGACCCGCAAGCAAAAAACGGATCAAAAATTTTCCAACTTTAGTGGGCTTGGGCCCACACAAAGCTTAATCATCATGTCGAATGCAACCCGGATCCAAATTTGGGCCACAACAACACAAAAAAATTATGATTATATTAAAGAATCTTGTTGATTTTTTTTTCTCTCATAGCTCATTGGCTTTATATGACAATTCAACGGTTATTTCTAACATTAGTAATTTATAAGTTTCATAAAGGACTTTGTATATACATGGGTTGACCTAAAGGTTTTGACCGAAGGGCATTCTAGTAATTTTGATGATTACAAACTGTTAATGGTGTTTAGGCACTAATGTCTACATTGAGTGTTGTACTAGATATGATCACATATTCAATATAGCCCTCAATAAAGCAATGGTAATCAAAGTCACATTCCAAGCATTCCAATGCACATGAAGGCCTATGTTACTCGGACTCGGGTACGGGTGTTGGACACGGTTATGTGTCTAGAGGTCGAATCCATCTACCTATTAAATTATAGGACACAGTGACACGAATTAAAAGTGTTCAAAAATCGGGTACTCGACACGACATATATATATATATATATTGTAGGCATGGCATAATTAATTAATATGAAAGAATTTTAATGGCACTATTTAAATAAGTAACCTTTAGTGAAAGTATTAAATAAGCCTAAAGACAGTAGAAAGTTAAATTCATATTTATTGCACAGCTGTAACCATTATTAGTATTTAAAAATGTAATAAAAAAATTTTGTGGATTACACATCCTCTATGTTACATGGACTCGGATACAGGTGTCGGACACAGGTATGTATCCATACATCGGACGTGTCAAATCTCCAAATAGAAGGACACACGGACACGACTAAATATTCATTTTATTAATTATTTTATTTTATTTTCTAGAGTAAAGTAATGTTTTTATCTAATAGAATGTTCAATATAAACATTTAACTCATTTTAAAGTAATAATATAATGTAATTGAATGATTGGATGCGCTTTTTAAGTACATGTCCAACCAAAAGTATCGGACACATATCCCATACCCATGTCCGAAGGATATGTGTCCGACACGGGTACTTTACTACTTTTGAAGAGTCCATGTAACAGAGCACATCCTGCGAGGTTATAGTTGTAACCTAATAAGCAAGGAAACGGATACGGGACACAGATACGACATGGACACGGCGAATAATAAATATTATATATATATATATATATATATATATATCATGTTATAGTTCAAGAAATTAAGAGTAATATTATCTTTTATCAACCTACTGATGAAAAAAAAATTTGTGTTTTGCTGGGAAAAAGAAAGAAACAAAGAGGATTAGGGTATTGTTAGAAAAAGAATTAGGGGTTAGTTAAAAACAAAGGTAAGAATCCATAAAAGAGAAGAAATTCATGTTCACAACATAAAATATTGTTGTGAAAGGAAAAAAAAGAAGTATCAAGGGTTTGTGAGAAAGAAAATAAGAAGAGGAGGAGAGAGAGAGGACCATCCAACAGTAGCAAAGCTTGGTCGGTGGGAGAACAAGAGAGAGCCAAAGTTGATTGTGCAAGAGTTTGAATCTTTGAACTAAAACATAAGCCTAAATATATGATTATTTTAATATAAAATTGTTTTATAAAAAACAAAATTTTAACCAAAGGACCAATTAGTCCAGCGGTATCACTTCTTCCCCCCCCAAAGGGGAGGTAGGGGGTTCGAACCTCGGTAGAGGTAGGATGTGTGAGTAATTGCAAACTTTCAAAAAAATAAAAAACAACATTTTAAGTAATTATGTAATGATACCATATTATGGGAAGTTAATAAACAATTCTTCGTACCTACACTTCAACACAACTTTCTTAAAACTCCCCAAGAATGCACTTTTAAAAAAAAATCCCCAATAATGGGATACATGTGTCTATGGCGTGTCCGAATATTTTAAAAAAAAAAAAAAAAAAAAAAAAAAAAAAATTCAAACACATATTTTGGCGTGCCCAGTATGTGTCAGTGTTCGACACAGATTTTTTGCCTTTTTAGGTGTGTCTGTGCTTCCTAGGTTGTAATCCATATTTTGATGTGTGGCCATAAACATTAGTATGCCCATTTATGCCCTTTTGTGGGTTACAGCTGTCGCTTTGTTACCCACACATATGATATATCTGATAAGGTTACACGTCTGTTTGATCGATCAGTAAGGAAAAAAAAAAGAAGTAAAGTTATAATATGCGCGTGAATAACACTCTCCAGGTCCTTTATTCCATGCACAATACACGTGAGAAGGAAATGTCTTCTTCCTTTCAAAGCCCCAAGTCCAGACTCCAACCACCATTTCCGATTCACAGCTTCTTAACACCTTGTGTCGTCAACAGCCGTGTCCAGTAGACAACATGAAAGATTCGACCCATATTCCATGTCGTGTTGTGTCAGGTCGACGCAAACACCCTCGCCGGTGACAGCAAGTCCAAGTAACATAGATGAAGGCATCAATGATCAAGTAATGGACGTGGAAATGACTTGAAATTGAAAAAACTCATAGCTAGAAGCATTCAAAATTGACTTGGACCTCAAAGATCAAGAATTCAACTCAAACGTCAAGAATGCAACTCAATAAGGAAGAAGCCTCAAAGCTCCAAAATAAATGCCAAGCTTGAAGAATGGGGTAGATAGGTTGGTGAATATTTAGAATTCAATGTAAAAGTATTTTTGAATCTCTTTTTTAAGCTCACTTTTATGGGATCATGCATATGCACTCATATTTCACATCTTGATCCTTAAACAACCTAGAAAAAGGTCTTAAACATCACTGTGACACATACAAAGACCTAAACCACCTCCAAGGACTTAAAGACTCCTTCAAAAGCCTGTTTTTAAGAGTCTACCGACTGGTTGAACTCTACCAGGCTGCTGATTTGTCCATAGCTAAATGAAATTAAGGAGTGTATCTTATTCAGCCGTGAGCCGACTGATAGGTTTGAGTTCCAACCGATTGACACTCTAAACCAGCCGACTGGTTCATGCCAGATTGAATTCTGACGGCTATAATTGTATTATATGCACTCTCAACCACTCCTAACAGCTCTTTTCAGCCTTTAACCTCTATATATATGGCTGAGCATTTATGTATGAAACTTGTGAGAAACATTTATGAGCATTTAAGAGCTATCATTTGAGCATTTAATACACTCTTCACTCTCACTCATCGCATTCAATAGACTTGAGCTTCAACTTGAAATCATCAATACTCTAGTCTCATGAGCATAAATTTGAGCTATCTATCTTTGAGAGAGATTATTATGCTTCAATCTTCCTATAAATCATTTGTAAGGTGGGTTGGTTTGACCTAAGGGATTGGTGTGACCCAAAGGAAGTCTAAGAGTTGACTCGCCGTCGCCGACGAGGGTATCCGGGTCGACACGACACAACACGAACACGGGATATGGGTTGGACCTTTCATGTTGTCTATTGGACACGACTGTTGATAACGCAGGGTGTTAAGAAGCTCTGAATCAAAAATGGTGTTGGTGTCTAGACTTAAGGCTTTGAAAGGAAGAAGATGCTTCCTTCTCACGCATAAAAAAAGGACCTGCTGGAGCGTATTATTCACGCACATATTATAACTTTACTTTTTTTTCCTTACTGATGACCAAACACGTGTAACCTTACCAGATGCATCATATGCGTGGGTTACAAACTGATGGCTATAACCCACAGAAGGGTATAAAAGGGCGAAACAATGGGCATACTAATATTTATGGCCACACAACAATACAAGGGTAACAGCTGTAACCTCGCAGGCTGTGTAACCCAAAAAAATTTATTACTACTTTTTAAAATACTTATAATGGTTACAACTGTACAAAAAATATGGTTTTAACTTTCTACTGGTCTTAGGCTTATTTATTATTTTCACTAAAGGTTACTTATCTAAACAGTGACGCTAAAATTCTTTCATATCAATTAATTATGCCATGCCTACAATATATACATACACACACACACATATATATATATATACCCGTATCTGATTTTTGGACACTTTTAATTCATGTCCCCGTATCCTATAATGTAATAAGAAGGAATGAGAAGCAAGTTTGCTTGTTGTAAAGCTTTGGGCCCTGTTTGGCGTGGCTTTCTGGAGCTCCAAAATGGGCTTCTAACCTCAGGAAGTGATTCCACTAAAAAAGTGAGTGTTTGGAAAATATTTTTGAACGGGCTCCTTTAAAACGCTCACTTTTGAAAGCCCGTTCAAGGAAAGCCACAAAAATAGGCTTCTGAAACCCCATTCTCGGGAAGCCAATGAGGCAGTTAAATGATAAATATTGTGATGACAATTTTAACCCTACAAATTATAATATATTTCCAAATTAACCTTTCTTCTCCACTCCGTCTCTGCGATCTGGAAATAGTAATGACGATGTCCTAGATGAGAAAGAATAGCAAGTTTAAAATTGGGGGACCCTACTAGTGGGATGAGTAAGTATCTTTCTCGCCGTCCTGCTATTCTTTCTCGCCGGAGTTCCGCTAACAAATAGTTACTCAGCCCTCCAGTAGTTGGATTTCTACAGGAGAAAATTAAGAGTTTAGAATTTTAAGATGGATCATATTTATTTATGAAATTGGGGGAGAAGTACACAAAGAATTCTTACTATCCTCTTATTTCATATATTAATATGGAATGTAAGCTAAATTTCACGGTGATTAAGAGTGTAGAAAAAATGAAACTGAGTGTTTCTCCTTCCCCAATTTGCCACTGCCCTAGATCTGTAAGTTCATCTCTATCTCTCTAAAATTTCTCCGGACTAATAAAGATGGTATATTTTGTAGTTTAAGTTTTTTTTTTTTTCTTGAATTGTAATTTAAAAATTCCTTTGGAAAGTTTCAGAATTCTTATGGAAATTTTAGGACTGACATTCCTATTCAACAAGTTTCTTGTTCTCTTAATACCACAGCTCTACATATAGATGCTTCTCTGTTTCAACCTTTCCTATCTCTTTCAAAATTTTCAATTTCTGCAAATTCTTTACACTGTTCATAACTTGCAAAACTTGGACTCAGGTTAGACTTGATTTTTTGTGCACCATAGCACAATTCATTTGTTTTACTGAATTGATATACTTTGAATCTTTTATTTTCCTTTTAAATAATTTTATTTTTCTCCTATATTTAATGCATGATTTTTTCAATCAATTTAATGTTATGAATGTGTATTATAACATATTAATCCTCTTTCTTGCTACTTATCATCATTTGATTTTTATCAATGTATATATATTGATTTATTTAGAGTTGAATTATATTGCACTCTTTGTTTGTTTCTGGTTTCGAAGTTGAATAATTTGGTGGTATGTGTCCCTGTGTATATAAATTTAGTGCAATTTAATTGATTTGTCAAACTTGGTAGTGTAAAAAACTTATGAATAACAAGTTAGTTGAGTATGAGGCTCTATTGTTGGATAGGTTTCTCCATATTCTTAAATACTTATATAGGAGGATATCAGAGAAACACGGTAATGGATTTCAATAGTATAGTTGAAAAAATATTGATGAGGAATTCCCTAGCCCCTTCTCGGCCTCCCTTTTCCATCTTTCCCTCTCTAAACTTATGTTTATTTCTCTGTTTTTCTTGTTCTCTTTCTTCCATCTAACGGAGTATTTATTATCATAGGCATGGGACTTCCTTTAGTTGGTCAAAAGGAATTTTCTCTAGAAGCTTTGCTACACTAATGCATTAACATTATTTGGATAGTTGTTTGCTATATCGCGTGTGTATGCATGCTGGCATGCATGTGTACTTTGTGCATGCACATATACAAATGTGTTGCCATTGCAACAATCTAATGGGCACATAATATACTAACAGCCCATGGATAATAGTTTCAACTAAGAGGAATTAAAGAACTATTTAATTATGCTCATTCATCACTTAGAAATGTAATTGGATGTTGTCTTGGAATTTGGAAGGCTCGATGGGAAATTTTAAAATGTATGGCTTCTTTTCCATTCCCAACACAAAGATTGATTGTAATTGCATCAATGGCACTACACAATTAGATCCGACAAAAAGCAATAGCTGATTCCCAATTTCGACAATATGATGATGAAGGTTATGTAAGTGACAATGATGATATGTACACGCGTGCCACTCCATCGAAATCTAGTGCAACGGAGGACCAACAACAAGAAATGATCATTACACGTGATGGGATTGCTAATTCAATATGGCAGTCAACTAGATAAATCGTGCCTTAGTCTGTTTATGTCTTTGGATTGTTTTTAAAGTTTTTATTTATTTATTTTGGACAATTATTGTTTATTTGAAATTAGTATTTAAAATCTTGGGCATGTTTACATTATATTTCATTTGGAATTTATTATCAAAATAATAATTAACATTTTTAGTGGTAGAAGTTTTCTACCTAATTGTTCATTAAAGTGTTACAAATATTTTTATGGATATAAAAAACCGTTGTTAATATGATTCAGTATTATGTCAAACCTAATAATATAGGTAAATATTATAAGGTATTTATGTAAATTTGTAGTTATTTAATAGCCGAAGGACTTTATAACCAAACACATTAATATGTGAGTAAAATGACTTTTGGGAATAAAAAGACTTTTTAAAAGTAAGGCAGCCAAACGCCTTTTTTATTTCCGAATTCCTTTCAACAAAGTGATTCTTGGAAGCCCGTTATAATGAAAGGACTTTTCATCTCAGGAAGCGTCCCCAAACAGGCCCTTGATCTCCACCTGAAAGGAGAAGCCATAATGGATTTGAGAAGTCTGAAAAGGGATCTTGAGCCGAGTAGTAGGAGTTTTGAACCTCGCTAAATCGGCATGTCAATTGTGTTTAAATCTCTCTCCCCTCATCTCATTTAAATTGTGCACTTTGATTACCTTCACATATTGCTTATTGCACAATTTAAATTGATATTGCAAAGTCTTGGTTAAATCTATTAATCCGAAAAATTAGCCATTGTTTGCCATAAACTCTATTCAACCCCAACCCCCCACCCCTCTAGAGTCAATACTTGGGTAACAACATGGACAACACCTATATCAATTGTTCACAAGACTAACCGAGCCAAACTTGTTCAAGCTTATTTCATTAAGCAATAGAATTTCAACCATGGTTCATCTAATTGGTAGACGAGCTTCAATAAGCTTCCTAACCAGTCTAGCCTAAGTTGTTCACACAGCTCAATTTATTTGCAACCCTAGCAAAAAACTCCTTTAAGTCATCCATTCTCAGGTCTTTTAAACAATATCAATCCTAATTTGTATCTGACCTTCTCCTAGACCTTCTAATGCTGATGGCCTGCCTAAGCAAATAATATTAGAACTTGTGATAAAAGCCAAACAAAAGGAATGAATGCCTATAATGAATGACCGCAGTATAGTAGCAATGTAAATTGAGTGTACTGATTAGCAATTGTGGTGTTCAACAGCTTACTATATTCAGAATTATATACGACTGCAGAAGGAGAGTAAAGAAGGGGGAGTAAGATGTTATGAAAATACTTTGCACTTCGAATTTAGATCATTATCCCAGTGCCCAAGACCAAGATAACAACTTGATAGAGAAGAAACTATTACTAATCAGAAACAAAATATAACACAAAAAATTTCAGACTATCTGACATTATATCAAAAAGATAAGCCAACAAATGAGATCACTGTTCACTATAATGTAACAAGAAAATGTGGCAACGATGCACATTATGAAATATACTTTTTCAATGGGAAAAAGGGTATTACCAACAATGGAATGAAACATTTATGTCGAATCATTATTAAACCAGGAAAAACATGAGCTAATATACAAAAATAATAAGGAAAATATAAAAAACCTATAATCACAATGAATCACAAAGTGGAAATACCTTGCTCCATATAATTACTGTAAACATATGAACCAGCAATGTTCATCTCCTCCGAGCAGAAATTCCTTTCAAGCTCTACCCTTTTACCATGCTCCTCATTAGCCAATCCATTCCAAATGCCACCCCAGTGTGGTGTATACTCCAGACCAGACAAGCTTCGTGTATAATCAACTTGAGAGGGTACATCCGAGGGGACAACATGGGACATAGGCAACAAATCAAAACTAGGTTCATTAAGGGCCAACAAAGGAGTATCATGGTCAACCACGGGTGAGACATATGGGGGATAAAATGGTTTAGATTCAACAAGACTAGTCGGTATGTCGCCTGAATATCGAAGATATGAAACATCAATTGCATCTTTAGCACTAGGGTTTAAAGGAGACCAATTGGCACTTGGTGAGTTGATAGATTGAGATCCTGAAAACCCAAAACTAGTCACTGAAGCAACACAAGTGGTCCGTATCGAATCGACTTCTGGATTTACATTCGAAAAGAAATCAGGTCTAGAAGCTGAAGAGTATGAATTTGACCAATACTGTGATGAAGAATTGAATGGCACAGCATAAGGTGGTTCGGTGAAATTCACGAGTGGGTTAGACATGGGTTTGGGATTAGATCTATCAACAGTAAAAGGCGGTGCTAAAGCCGATAAATTGGAAGACGATGATGTCGATCCTCCATTACCCAAAGACCCTAGACCCATCATTTCTTTGTGTAAAAGGTAATTGGTCAACTGATCAAAACCCAACACAAATTTATATCAAATCAAGGGTTAATGAAGTGATTATCAATTTATCATGTCAAATTAAACAAATGGGTGGAGATAAAGAACGATCAAGAACAATATACTTTAACCAGAACGAACATAGTTTATATATGTGTATATCATTCTTGACATAAAAATATATGGATAAAACATGAAAGCCATCCGAATACAAAAGATTACGTCAAACATTGAACAGAATCGAAGATATCATATGGAAATCATACCAGTTACGCGGACAGTATAGACCCGAAGACCGAGCTGAGGCGTCTCTCTCCTTCGAAGCGAAGAGAGTGACGGTGAGTAAAAGTTGTCACTATTTTTTTTGGTTAAATTTTGGTAAAATTACATAGCACCCCTGTAATTTGCGTAAATAAATCTCCCCTTGTATTTCTCTATCTCCCATTTTCAATTAGAAAAATTATAAATTTATCTATGCGTAACAAATACCAATCGATAGAAACGCCTCACGAGGAGAGAAAGGGTAGATCTTATCCATGTTGACAAGAAGATCTTGTTTTATCAATTGGGGTGGCTTATAAAATTGATGGGGCATTGTAATATTAGTCTTCTAATTAATCAGCGTAGACTTTCTTAATTGGATTATACTTACCTACTAGGTGGTGAGTAAGTGATCCCTTCATTAGGTCCAATTACATGTGCACACAAGTGTGTAATTACACAATCAGAAAAGTTATAAATAAGAAAAATTGTGTGAGTGGCTGGATTTCTCCCAAAATAATTTGTTTTCTATATTTATAACTTTCCAGACTATGTAATTATAGAATATGTATGCAATTGTGATTGGACCATTTCATCAGTTAGTAGGGTGGTGCGTGCCTAGCACGAAGCACAAAATGGAGTGTAGTATGGCCAAGTTTAAATTTATAGAATGTCACTACCACTTTTAACTATAAATATAGTTAGGGTGAGTAGGGATCGTCCCAAAGGAAATGAAGTGTATTTAGTTTGGAAATCAATTTTGGATTAGTAAGTCGAATGATCAAAAATGTTTTGATTGGTTAATTAACTACAATGTCAACTAAATGGATGTAAGGTTAAACAATTGAAGTAGAGTAAAATATAGAGAATATAAGAGAAGGATTTTGGGACTTAGAGGTCTCCACCAAACATTACCTTCCTAGACACTCAATGTGTAATGGATGAGGGGAATTATATGTTGCAATATTAGTGTGTGTCATTAATTGAATCAACAAGCATGAATGACTAAATAAGTATACATTGTCTAGCCAAACTAGTGAATAACACAACATATCAAGTTAAGCCATGATTCCTTCCTTTAAATCCACAATCAGCACGCATCATCAAATTAGAGAAATATATTACTTGCATTCATAAGTATAGAACATCAAACAACAATCATGGATTGTCCTCCTATATAAGAAAGTAAGGTAACTACACTACAACAAAGCTAGAGACATGAAGATTAAACTAATTAAACTAAGGAAGATGCACAATCTATCAAGAAATGAGTACGAACCATCAAACAAACAACAAGAGTATTCCATTAAAGCACCATGCCTTGACCATCACTAGATTCATAGCATCAACACACATAGACATGCATCAATATCACAAAATCTAAAGATAAACACAAGATTCATATATAAATCAAATGTCAAGACAAAAATTACAACACAAATCCCCTCAAAATATAAAGCATCAAAGTCCAGGAGGCATGCTTAGAGCTATCTTTAGCCCCAAGAGAATGGTTTAGCCACTTATTGATATAGTCATACAACCCTCAAGGGCCATCTCCATGGTAGGAATGATCTTTTTCTCCTTGATGGAAACCCTAGATGAGTGAAAGAACTCCCAATGGTGTGTGTCTCTCTAATCTGTAAACTCCTCCAACCTTTCTTGTGTATAAGGTTCCTTTATCTAAAATTGTATATGTATAAAATGGCCCAAAATCCTTATATAGGTAGCTCAAGTGTCACATCGTCAGACCTCGTACACTAGGACCTCCAAATGATTGCACCACGAGCACACCTTTTAATTGGCTGGAACTCTGTTTTTCTCGCACTTGAGGAGGTTTGATCGATCACAAGGGTGGTCAGATCGATCGAACTATGGCGGCGCCTTTTTGGAATAATGACAAATCTGAGATATTTTCGGGATATTTTGGGAAAAGAACAAAAGTGGTAGGTAGGGAAAAGATCAAAGAAGTCTGATCGATCGAAGTAATGTTGGATCGATTGAAGATGGAAATTTCCTGAGGATAAGGACAAGAGGCTTGATTCATCTTGGTATGGTTGGAACGATCACTGTGAGATCAATCTGAGCTTGGTCTAATCGATCGAAGATTACTGTTTTTCACCACTTTGCTTTTTTCTTCCACTAAGCTTGAGATTGCATCTTTTATGCTCTAATTCAGCTGAATTGACTTATTTTGGGGATAAGTGTCTGAAAAGGGAAATAACATGAAATTAGACTAAAACGGGAAAATAAGATAGGATAAGGTTCTAGAATGATCAAGCTTAAGGGGTTTAAATGCGCACTTTTCAACGTTTATCACACCCCCAAACTTAAATGTTGCTAGTCCTTAGCAATGAACTACGAAGTAAAGAAATAAAATAAACAACTATACAACTATGAGCTAGAAAATAATAAATGGATAATGCCACTTTCGTAGGGAATACGATTACATTTAGCGAATGCAACAAACCTTTTAAACCCCTAGGTTACCCCTAGTGGACGAGTGAAGTCTCATGAGGGTGTCCAGAAATGATATCCACAAACATTAAACTCATTCTCACAAAAGAGGCACCAATATTCCAAACAAGCATTGGGAGAAAACTACTTCAAGTATGCAATTTTTCAACCATTTCCAAGCAATCTCCCAAAATCTCAACATCAAGTAAGCAAGTATAGTCCTTCACACATCAAGAAAATGATCATGTAAATCAAAACAACTCTAGAATCCTTTTTGAGTGAACCGGCATCAAATATGTTGCTATCTAAGCCAACTAAAGAAATGATCACATCCTTACCCTCAAATTAGCACACAAATCTAGTACCGATCATCAAGATAAATGGTAGACCTTTTATTAAAGCTTTATTCATCTAGGTGCGCTTATTCTTTTCACTTGATTTTTTTTTTTTTTTTTTTTTTTTTTTTTTCTAATCCTAAGGATCAAAGATGGAAACATAGTGCAATGTGTTGATCTATTAAGCTTTCTAACGATCCATGAGGTCGAGCGTTAGGTCAATGACTCCCAAACCGGACGACTTTAGAACATTAGTTATTAAACACCCCTAAGGACTTACAAGCTCAAATCAACTAGGCTACAAGTCAAAATAACTTCCATCTAATCATTTCCCACTTCTCACCTTTTGGGAGAAGTCCTCACTTTTTTATTTGCTTCTTCTTCTTCTTCTTCTTCTTTTTTTTTTTTTTTTTGTAAGTTATTAACCTAGAGTTTCGGCCCTCCACCTTTCGGTGCGAGAAATTCAGTGTTTGATGAGGCTAGAATCCCGGCTACTTAGTGAAAAAGGTTTGTTATCCACCTTTATCAATAATAGAAGCTTTCAATGCACTACTAACTCAATTGTGATATAACCAATTCAATAATCAACAAAGCATGTACCCCACAATTGAATGCTAGTGTGTGTCTGTGCTATTGTAGAATCCTAGAGTGAATCTTAAAACAATCACAAAATCAAGATGATGTGGACCACAAGTGTAAGCATGATATCAATCTTTCGAAAAATTTACTCCTAAAGGGCGTCCACAAGGCATACAAGGAGTATTGGACTCTCAAGTAAAGTAATTTTTAAATTTTAAGCAATATAGTTTTCAAAAGATCAAAATCATAGCTAGTCATGGACCAATCATAGAAAATCCCTCAAATACACAAGTCAAGTCAAGCAATTTTTAAATTTTAAGCAATATAGTCCTCAAAAGATCAAAATCATAGCTAGTCATGGACCAATCATAGAAAATCCCTCAAATACATAAGTCATGCTCAAATTTTGAATTGAAATGCGAGCAAAGAACACACATTACCCCCAAACTTAAATGGCACAGTGTCCTCAATGTACAAAAAGAATAATAGAAAGAGGAAAAAGTATACCAGAGCAGTTATGGCAAAGACTGGCCGGGACACAAGTATCCGAAGTGAGTGGTACAACCCCCCCAAACTTGGGATTAACTGTGGTCCTGAAAAAATGGCACTGGGATAAAACCTCATCAGATAACAAATGGGATAATAATGGTGCACAGTGGGCATGCTAGTGCGAGTGGGATAGTAAAATAAATAAAGAGAGAGGAATAAGGGTGGTCCTAAAAAATTTGGACAGCACTCTCTTACTGAAGTCATTGGGATATACCTGATAATGGAGTCAATCACAAATAGATATATCAATACATAAACTGACATCCAAAAATAGCATGTATAGATAATAGAATAGAAACAGTATAGAGTACATCACAGTATCGGGCCAACAGACTGGCCGCAAAAATATAGTAACAGTATCAAAGTAATAGTCAAAAATCGCAGATGTATATGATGATAAAGAGAAAGAGATTAGCCAGAGGAGGTCGGTCTAGCGGGGCGTGAACCCCAAAAATCTTTGAAAATGCCCTACAGCACAGTCAGCACATCAGCACGGAGAGTAGTCACGTCGGTGCTGAGAGAGGCCACATTTGCTCAGAGAGAGACTACCACATCCTCCAAGGTTTAGATACGCTCCCCCAAGCCTGTTGTCTGAGCTGGAGCTTCAGGAATGGCAAGATCAAAGAATTGATACTTGGCCTGGCTCTACTCCTAGGAATGAAGTGGTGACTCCTCTGGAGGCTCTTGCTTCAAGTCTATCTCTATATGTGCACCCATAGCTGCTGGTGCATCTGCTGATTCATCTATTACTGTTACTGCTGCCTCATCATCTGCCGTTGCCTCTACCACCTCGTTCTTTAGATTCTTGATAAGAGCATTGTAACTCTTATTCCAGTCCTTCTTGCCATAGTGGCAAGCCTTTGTCTCAGGATGCTCTTGCGGGTGAAAAGGATAGTGCTGGTCTCGGAGGATCTGAGTAATCAAATGCGCGAAGGGGAGGAACTTGGCCCGCCTAGGCTTGGTCTTGCTAATGTAGTCCGTATAGAGCTTCATCATAACACTCCAATAGAGTGTCGAGATAGAGAACCAGTAGCCTGTGTAGAAGGCATATAAGGCTGCAAGAAAATCTGATCGCCTCTGAATTTTGTGCCCCTCCATAAATATATTTCGGTATAAAACTGAATCAAAGAACCATAGGTCGTCGGGCAAGTGAGTCCTGGTGGCAAATGTCTCGCCAGCACTGGCAGGGCCATTCAGAGCTGCGGCCATGTCTACGTTAGATGGCCTCCGGAGAATAGGATAATCAACACCGGGAAGGAAGACGTGTGGGCACTGAGAGGCTGTGGCCAGTGTCTCAACTGTAATGCGGATGGGATGGCTGTCAATGTTGGTCCGCAACTCCGCCAGGTTACTCGGGGTCGGCAGGAGGTTCTGGTAGAACAACCGGACGAACTGCGGGTAAATTGAATTGGCCACCAGTGCCAGGATATGAGAGATGTTGCGCTGGTAAATCTCATCGTAGGCCTCCTTGGTCAGAATCGACCGGGAGAAGAAATTACCATCAAAGACGGACTCATGCACCACTGTAAGGCGCGAAAATCTGCTATCCACTTTGTCTCGGACCATGCCGAGAAAAAGATGAGGATACGGATGCAGAAGAGGAGGAGCGCTCGGACTGAGCGAGAACTTGCTCCTCTACCCGCTGCCGCACCCTGCGCTCATATGTTCGGCGGGCAGTGGTCTTGACTCGAGCCATGGTTTGCAAAAAAAAAAAAAAAAACACTTGCAATTGTAGTCAGTAACAGAAAACAGTATATGGGATACAGAATTGGAAGCACACAGATATAAACATGTTTGTCAAGTTAAGATAGACAACTCAAAATAAATTACATGAATTTATGCAAGTGATAATGCAGCCAAGTATAGACAGTGACTATTCCAATAAAGTGAAACATGCTAGATATGATAGAGCAGAATGCAACAAATGTGGAAAACACAGGCATTGGGCATAAATGAGATAGCATGGAACACAAAAGAGGGTATATGAGTTCTATATGCAAAGCAGTGAAGTTCGATCGATCATGAAAAAGATGGGATCGATCTAAGTTGGATCGATCATGACATGATTGAGATTGATCGTGCTCTGATCGATCAGAGCACTAGTGTGATCGATCGAACCTGTGGAAAAACATGAATAGTCACGGATTTGTGACATAGACAACACAGGGGCATTCAAATATGCTCGTAGGCTCCTATACACCTCAACAAAGCAAGAATGGTCACTTAAATCGACACGTGACGCCCGAAATCAAATTCGAAAACAAAATATATGCAAATATACATACATATATATATATATATATATATATATATACATGTGCTTAAAAACTCAAAAATGGCAACAACAAATCATGGGAAGCTCTAGATCTACTTTAGGGAACGTGGAAATCACTAGATTAAGCTCGAAAATTGAAAACAAAATTAAAACTTACCAACAAGAGAGTGAGAGAAGTGGACCGAGAGAGATGAGATGAGAGGAGTTCGGAGATGGAGTTGGGAAGCCTTGAGAAGTTGCCGGAAGTGGGGAAGACGATGAAACAGCGGTGGGAGAGAAGGTGGGTCTTGGATCAATGTGTAAATCGATCTAAGTGACCCTTGGGTTATTTTTTTTAAAACGGCTTCCAACATGTCAAATCCATCACACAGTTGGTCAGATCGATCTGACACAGATCGATCATGAAGATACTCAGATCGATCGAACTCACAAAACGACAAATTTTTTTTGATTTTTTTTTTTAATAGAATTTTGAAAATTGAAAATCTTTCTGGAAATTTATATATATATATATATATATATATATATATACATATATATATATATATATATATATTTTTTTTAAACTGAAAATTATTTTTTAATTTTTGGAATAAAAATTTTTATTTTTATTTTTTATTTATTTTGAAATTTGAAATTTAAAAAGAAGTCAAAGTCAACGGAAGTGCACAGATCGATCGAAGATTGATTGATCGGAACTCGATTAATCGAACAGGTGAAAACCTACAGAGATCTTCGAACGATACATAGAGAGATAATTTTTCATGGTTTTAAATTTTTTTCTAAGTATGGGACACAGATCGATCTGAAGGAAAGCTAGATCGATCTAGGAATACTCAGATCGATCAGGAAGAAAGTTCGCACGATACACAGAGTGATAAAATATGCAGAGATTTTCGCCCGATGGGATAGGAAGATGGGAATATGCAGGGATGATTGTTCGATTGATCAAACTTCTTCTCAGATCAATCGAGCAGACACTAAATGTCTAATTCGAAAATGAAAACACATGCATTCCGCGTCAAAGTCTCAAATGATGTGTATGATCCCAGAATATATCTAGACGATGGAAGAAAAGAAAGATAAGATAGAAATGAGGGAGGAATAGGGTTAAAAACCCTACGAATCACTAGTGTTTAACGTCTCTAGCAAGACGTCGGGCTCTTTAGTCCGGATCAAAAATCTTGTTATGCATCCCCTCCTTAGCGGGGTGAAAAGCATTTTGAATGCTACCCAACAAATTATTCCCTAGAGAACTCACTGGATTTGATTCAAAGGAGATTGATGGTCCTTAATCAAAGCAATTTTTGGGCCTCCATACCCTTTCAACACTTGGTTTGAAAACATTTTTCTTTGAAGTCTTTTTGGAAAGCAAACCATAGGAATGTTCAACATCAATGAAAGACTTAAATTTTTCACATTCATTTTCAATGCATTTTTCAACAACACAAACCTCTTCATGTTTGTCCAAAGAATTCGGGGTTGGATTGAGTATGTTCAACTTCACGTTCATATGCCCAAATGAAATTTTCATTACCCCTGCCCTACAGTTTATGTTGCCATTAGCGGTTACCAAGAAGGGACGGCCAAGGAAAGTCGAAATTTGGCTCTTGGGATTTGTGACCGGTTCCGTGTCTATGAATATGAAATCGACCGGGAAGAAGAATTTATCAATTTTAATCAACATATCCTCAATAATACCCTGGGGCTTTTTGATGGATCGGTCGATTAGTTGCAAAACCAACGACGTTGGTTTTAAATCTCCTGAGCCCAATTGAACATACACCGAGTATGGAAGAAGGTTCACACTTGCTCCTAAATCAAGAAGAGCCCAGTTAATGACATGGTCACCAATGATGCAAGAAGTAGTAGGTGAATCGGGGTCCTTAAATTTTAGGAGAGTGTTGTGTTGCAAAATGGAGCTTACTTGCTCGGTCAAGACAACTTTCTTTGATGCTTGGCTCTTGTTCTTCCTCTTTTGGGTGCAAAGATCTTTCAAGAATTTGGCATATGCTGGAATTTTTCTAATTGCATCCAAGAGAGGAAGATTAATCTTCACTTGCCTAAACATTTCAATGATTTCATTCACTTTGCCTTGTTATTTTTCAAGAGAATTGGATCTTTTTAAGGCATCTGGAAATGGAACTTTTGGCTCAAAATCTTTTTCAAAATCCTTTTTGGAATCACTTTCAACACAAGAATTTTTCAAATCATCTTTCAAAACTTTCTCAACAAAGGAGACATGCACATGCAACGAAGGAGGAATAAAATGTGAAATGGGATGGGTATCAACTTTTGGTTGTACCGGTTCACTCTCTTCATTGTGAACTCCAACTTGGTTGTCAACAATTTTTCCACTTCTTAAGGTTGTCACCGCATTGACATGCTCAATTGTGTGACCTTCCAATGAAGAATTGGTCTTCACAACAAATTGTTGCTTGGGAGGTGGATTCAAAGCCATCTTCCCCTTTTCCCTAGCATTTAAGGTACTAGCTATTTGCCCAACTTGGGTTTCTAGTTTCGCAATGGATTGAGAATGGGAATGAAGTAATTGGGTGTTTGTCTACAACGTACCCAAAACAGTCAACACTTTTTCCTCAAAAGCAGGACTCCTAGAATTTCCTTGAAAATAAGATAATTGATTAGGAAAATGAGAGTTAAAAAATTGGTTTCCATGTGATGATTGAAAATATAACCTATAACCTTGGGAACTTTGGCTTTGCATTGGGGGCGAAACATATTTGCCTTGAAAACCACCTTGGGGAGGGTTTGAGTCCTCTTCTTGGCTTTTCTAAGAGAAGTTTGGATGTTTCCTCCACCCGAAATTGTAATGTGTGCCATAGGGATTATTCCCTTGGTTGACAAATGCGGCATTCACTTGTTCATGGTTCTCATTTTGCACATGTCCATGGGGACAATTGGAAGTAAAATGTAAGACACTAAAACAAGTCATGCAAGATTCATTGGAATTGTGATGAGAATGATTAGGGGAGGAAGATACTTGATTCACTGAATTTTGGTTGATCAAACCTTTGAAATAAAGAATTGACTTCGGCGGCTATGTCATTGGAATTATCAACTTGATATAAGCTGACATTTTTCCTTCCACCTAGATTTCTACCATTTTTAGAAGACAATGATCGATGCATTGAATTCTCACTCATGCTCTCATAGAGACGCCATATATCATCCTCATCCTATCAAGATATGAACCACCCATGGAAGCATCTACCATTCCTTTAAAATTATCCGACAAACTTTCAAAGAAAAATTGCACTAATTGCCATTTAGGAACGTCGTGATGTGGACACTTCCTAAGCAAGTCGTTAAGGCGTTCCCATGCCTCGTGAAACAATTCCCCATCCCCTTGAGAAAATTCTCGAATTGAGGTTCTTATTGTATTAGTCTTTGAAACCGGATAGTACTTTTTCAAGAACTCATGTTGTATTTCTGCCCAAGAAGTTATTGAAAAAGGCCTAAGATTGTTGAACCAATATTTTGCCTTATCTTTAAGGGTGAAAGGAAAAAGTTTTAATCTTAAAACTTCTTCCGGCATGTCCGTGTATTTCACAGTCGAACACACTTCAAGAAACTCATCTAAATGCTTGTAAGGTTCTTCACTTGGAAGTCCATGATAATTAAGAAACATTTGAATAGTTTGCGATTTAATTTCATAGTGATGTGCTTTAAATGGGGCAATTGAATGTATGTAGGTGCATTATATTCATTTGGCACATAATGGTCACGCAAGCAATATGAGGATTCACAACCGGTGGTGCTACATAAGCACCATGATTAACTTGAGCAACGGGAGGTTGTGGAGTAAAAATTGGCCGAGGCACTCCCAATGGAACATGGCCTTGTTGTTATAGTGGTAAGTATTCCCGCCTATCACGCGAGTGACCCGGGTTCGATCCCTAGCAACGGCGCCAAAACTTGGTGCGCGCCTAGCACGAAGCACAAAACGGAGTGTAGTGTGGCCAAGTTTAAATTTATAGAATGCCACTACCACTTCTAACTATAAATATAGCTAGGGTGAGTAGGGATTGTCCCAAGGGAAATGGAGTGTATTTAGCTTAGAAATCAATGTTGGATTAGTAGGTCAAATGATCAAAGATGTTTTGATTGGTTAATTAACTACAATGTCAACTAAATGGATGCAAGGTAAAACAATTGAAGTAGAGTAAAATGTAGAGAATATAAGAGAGGGATCTTGGGACTTAGAGGTCACCACCAAATATCACCTTCCTAAACACTCAATGTGTAATGGATGAGGGGGATTATATGTTGCAATACTAGTGTGTGTCATTAATTGAATCAACAAGCATTGATGACTAAATAAGTATACATTGTCTAGCCAAACTAGTGAATAGCATAACATATCAAGTTAAGCCATTATTCCTTCTTTTAAGTCCACAATCAATACACATCATCAAATTAGAGATGTATACTACTTGCATTCATAAGTATGGAACATCAAACAACAAGCATGGATTGTCCTCTCATCTAAGAAAGTAAGGCAATTACACTACAACTAAACTATGGACATGAAGATTAAACTAATTAAACTAAGGAAGAGGCACAATCCATCAAGAAATGAGTATAAACCATCAAACAAACCACAAGAGTATTCCATTAAAGCACCATGCCTTGACCATCACTAGATTCATAGCATCAACACACATAGACATACATCAATATCACAAAACCTAGAGATAAACACATGAACATCTATTCTAGCATATATAGACATATGAATAGAATGAAATGATCAATTGGAAGTATTAAACTACACAAATCATTGTAGAAATAAGATTCATATATAAATCAAATGTCAAGAAAAGAATTATAACACAAATCCCCTCAAAATACAAAACATCGGTCTAGGAGGCATGCTTAGGGCTATCTCTAGCCCTAAGAGAATGGTTTAGCCACTCATTGATGTAGTCATCCAACCCTCAAGGGCCATCTCCATGGTAGGAATGATCTTCTTCTCCTTGATGGAAACCCTAGATGAGTGGAAGAACTTTCAAATGGTGTGTGTCTCTCTAATCTCTAGACTCCTCTAACCTCTCTTGTGTATATGGTTCCTTTCTCTAAGATTGTATTTGTATAAAATAGCCTAAAATCCTTATATTGGTAGCTCAAGTGTCACACCCAATGGTCAAACCTCGTGCACTAGGACCTCCAAATGATTGCACCACGAGCACACTTTTTAATTGGCTGGAACTCTATTTTTCTCGCACTTGAGGAGGTTCGATCGATCACAAGGGTGGTCAG